TCAGTAGTGGGCGCAGCCCGACCCGCTTAACCAAACAAGTTGGTCTCATGGTCATAACAGGCCACGTCCATTAAATACCCTCGCCTATGGTCATAACAGGCCTCCATTATAATAATCACATCAATATACCTTACGACAAAAATACATACTATTTTCAGCTTGTATTTCTGAAATATTTCTATCAGATGCTTGTTGTTGATTTATAGGTAGTGGCGAAATAAAGCAAATAAGTTGTAGTTTGCATTTCATATTTAAAGAAATTAATATACTTTTACGAAAGAGTCATATTTTTGAAAAAGCAAAATTATCATTAGCGCCCGATTAAGACAATCTGAGGTCATAGGCTCAAGGACACTTTCCTTTATTTTTATGGATAAAAATCAGGCTTATAAGGAATTACAGGATGATTTAAAGGTGCCTTGTTAATTTCATTATTAACGTAAAAAATCTTGATTTTGGTGTAGGGTAAAACATTTCTTTTTCTTACTTCAAACTCTTCTCAACTTCAGAGCCGAGAAATTAAAAAAGATTCAGGTTCACAGCTTTATTTTCTACGATTTATTTTATCGGTTCTTCACTTTTCTAATAATTTAAGAAGAGAGAATAAAAGGAGGCCTGTTTTGCACTTTTCTGGCTTCCCGCAATCTGATAGAAATGATAATCTACTTTGTCTCCATTGGATTCAGAACTGATGTAGAAAGCTTAAGAAATAAATTTTCAAAGCTTTGAAGAGTATAATAATAAGATTTTATTTCTAAACATAAAATGCGTAAAATTCCAGTTAATGTAGCAAAGTAAGAATAGATTGAATTTTAGTCTTGTGACACTCAGTTGAATTTTATGATATGGTGATACAAAACATCTTCTTTAATCATAAGAAGGATGTGATTTCTTAAGTAAAATTTTTAGCATTTTAAACAGTTTATTCGGTTTTAATGTTCTCTTAGGATGTTTTTCTAATTTTTCATTTCTGAGCTATTAGCTGTAAATTAACTATTATTAAATGTTTAAGCATTAAATTTCAAAACGTTTTGACCAAAATTAATAATTACACATGGTTTTTAAAATATATTTAATGTGGTTTGGAGCGCTTATGCAATTTTTTTTCCCTCATCAGAAGGATTTTACAATTTTCTTAAAGTTATTTTAATGAGAATTTCGAAATCAGCATTAGATAATACAATTAATCGCTTTTAGGCGAATTGTCGTCCACCACCTTTTAGTTCGAGTCATTAGGTTATTCTGAATATGAGCAATACCCTCCCTGGGACTCGAGCTTGGACCTCTCGAATACGAGCCGAGTGTGCTACCGTTACACCACGAAGGCATGCTGGAAGGAGGGAGAAACTTCCTTCCTTTTCCTCTCTCCTTCTTTACCTTACACCTTTTCAAATAAAATTTCATATTTCTATTAGGAAAGTTACTATAGAGACTTGTGTAACATAATCTCTAGTTATACTAATAGCAGATGTTCATAAAAAAAGTAAGCAATATAAAATTTTATCGAAAATATCAAGAACCCCCCTCTCCAATCGGGTCTGCCATTTTATTTATTTGATAATTTGTTGAGAAAAAAATTAACAAAAGTTGCAGTTTTTAAACAGCACGGTGGTTCAGTGGCTAGCGCAGCAGCACCACAGGTCGGGGTTCGATTTCTGGGCTGGGCAAGGTTGACTCAGCCTTTCATCCCTTGATTTCCATCCCTTGGGTCGATAAAATGAGTACCAAGTTCACTTGGGGACTAAACACTGGGGGGGGGGCTGCGACAAGCTGAGCACTTGTTCAGGGTATATGCTTACGCACCCCGGGGCACAAGGTCAAGAAAGCAGATTTTCATCCCTTGGGTCGATAAAATGAGTACCAAGTTCACTTGGGGACTAAACACTGGGGGGGGGGCTTGCGACAAGCTGAGCACTTGTTCAGGGTATATGCTTACGCACCGCGGGGCACAAGGTCAAGAAAGCAGATTTCGGGCACTGCAGGCCTTGGCCCAGTACCACTGTTACGCCACTAAGTTTAGTTTTTTTTTTTTTTTTTTTTTTTTTTTTTTTTTTTTTTTTTTTTTTTCCAGTTTCTTAAAGGAAGTGCAGGAATTTACAGGTTTCGAGCTTTTTACTTTCGCATTCAAAGGCTTACAGTAATATATGATATTCACAGCTGGTACATGTAGAAATATTAAGGTGAATTTATTTGCTTTACGTGTTACATTAACTGAAATGAACTGCGTTAATAAGTATTTGTTGCAATAATATATAGTTGTTATACTCAGATAAGCAAGTAACTATATTTAGTATTAAGATCAGCATGCAACATTTTGAATTCATTGAAGTTCTCATTGATGTATTTAATAACTTTAAATATAATATGACAAGTTCTGTTGTTCTAATGAGCCTGATTCTTCAGGCTGTTGCATTGTTTGCAATTGGTCTGGACAGATGTTTAGTTTATTTATTTGATTGTGGAAAAGTTAGGAAAGCTGTAACTATTCCGTGAGTGGATAGTAGGGTCTATTTATTCCCGGAATAGTCCGTGAGTGGATAGTAGTAGGGAATAGCTCACTTTTTAAAACAGGAAATGTCAAACAGGAACAATTGCTGTCGCCAGGATTCAAACCACGGATGTCTCGATTGCTAATGTGGCACGCTAAAAGTTACACCACGAGAACATGCGTGATGAAGGAAGGTGGTAATTCATTGTAAGTTTCTATCCTTTTTGTAATGCCTTTTTTACGCGCTTTTTTTCTTTTATATGTAAAAATGTTATTAAGTACTGAGGGAATTTTTATAATCATATCTTTCTGGTTTTAGCATCACTTTTTGGATTAATGAAAAAGATCAGATCCTAATGGTTACATATGGAATAAGATCCTAATCATTACACTATCCACACATTTTATGATGTGCCAGTTGTACAATGGTTTAAGCAAAAGGTTAGCATTAAAAATTAACCTTTGAAAAATGTTTTAATAGTATATGCACACACAAACCAAAATAATAATAAAAATAAAAGTTAAGTAATAAAAAGTAATACATATATAAATAAAATAATAAAATAAATAAATAAAATGCGTATGTATAGTTTTGTGAATATCTTGAAACTTGTATTGGTCACAAATACACGTTTTTACTATGTTGTCATCTTTGAAAGTCCCACACTTGGTGATTTATTTACTATGTTCACCAAACTATGACTCAGAATTCAATGAATTTCTCTCTTAACGCCCTACATAACGCCAAGTTCATTCGAGCTTAAGTATCGGTCTACAAGTAATCAACTCTTAACTACAATCTCATGTCCAACAAATTTCACTGTCATTAGGTGTATTCAATTAACTTCATCAACTTCAAGTTTTTGGAGCGTGACAAGAAGAACCAATACTTTTGCGGAAAATTCTCTGAAGCAGAACTGTCTACGTTGCTTGCATTGAGATCTATACGTTTCCTCTTTTATTTAGCATATTTTTGCATTCTTATTATCAATTTGAATAAATACTTCAGTACTTATAAGTATGAAAATATTTTATATCAGTTTTGATGGGATTTATTTGCTCCCAGTACGGATCTCTATGTTCGAAAGGACATAACCAAAGTATTTTAAGCCTGTTATTCAGCCTTGAGCGTTTGCATTTCATTGTTACAAACAGGAGTAGGGAGGTAAATTATTACTGCACAACACTAATATGCCGCTTGTTTTAAAAACTAGGAGGAGTTTTCTAGAAAAAGCTGACTCATGTTTGTGTTCCATACAGGAAAAAAACAGTCTGGTTTCGACAAGAACAAACTACTGTGTTTACTCATGTATTTTAGCCCTCTCGCTTAATTTCCCCCTTAGCATCGTGTTCATATGCAATAAAAACTTTTAGTTTTAAATATTTTGATTCATATTATTGAGAGAAAATTTGATTATTAGCAGGAAAAATCTCTTTTTTACTGATAAGTTTACATCTTTGAAATATTTTGTTCAATCTCTTTAACTTTCCTTGGTACTAAAAAAGTAGTTTTTACGGCATTTCATATAAATATATGAAATCTTCCAGGAAATCTGTCTTCAAGGGAAATAAAACTTTTGAAACAAAATTTTTATACACAGATTTTTGAAATGTAACAAGAAAATTTCGTAAATATTTGTGTATTCATATTATGGAATTAGCTTTATTAGCGAGAAAAAGAATTACTTGGGAACTTCATACCCAAGAAAAATCTATATACACCTCTTAAAGTTTATTTCAGAAGTAAAAAGAATTCTTAAAGAAAGGTTGGTTTGGTTCGTTTATTGAAATTACGGCAAAGCACACTAGGGCTATATGCCTAAGGGGAGGGATGCATTCGTGGAGGACTTTCTAAGGGAAACTGGCTCGTATACACGTTACACATGGGGAAAACGACGAAAATGCCCATGCAGCCAGCCCGTTCGCTCTTAAAGAAGGATTTCTTTTGGTTGATTACTGCAAAACGTTCAAGGACTATCTGCCTAAGGGAAGGAATGCCGTGAAGGACTTTCTAAGGGAAGCTGACTCATATCTGCGTTACACATGGGGAAAATCACAAAAACACCCTTGCAGCTAGCCCGTCCTCCAGGATTTGAACCCAGATCGAACTACTGTGTTCAGCGATTATAGTGCTCAGTCGCTTCTTCTTCTCATGCGCGAACTTCTTATTTTTGAGGGCGGTGTGTGTGTGTGTATTGAGAATATGGCAAAGCACACTAGGGCTATCTGCCTAAGGGGAGGGATGCCTTCGTGGAGGACTTTCTAAGAGAAACTGGCTTGTATACACGTTACACATGGTGAAAATCACGAAAACGCACATGCACCCAGCCCGTTCGCGGGATTCGAACCTCGGATCGAATTGCCAGTGTTAAGCGATTTTACCGCTCGGCCGCTGGTGGGCTTTTGAGAGTGGTGTCTAATGTATTGTAATTAGAAACACTATGGTATAGTATTTTAGCAACAATTATTTTATTAGCACTATAAATTCTTAAAAATATTTTTTTCTTTTCAGATTGTGCACATCCTGTTGATCATAAAGTAATTTATGCTGGCCAAACAGAAGTGTTAGAAGGTGATTCTTTGGAAATATCCTGCGTTATGAGCGAGAGAGATATTCACGAATGGACAATTAATAGCTCATATATTATTGAAGAAGATAACGACAAAGGTTACGCGTTACTGGGAAAGCCAGCGAAGACTTTCTACGATAAATATGTATTAGAAATACAGTCAGCTCAACTTTATCACGAAGGAGAATATCGTTGCAACAAATACAGCAGGGATTTTCATTATTTAAATGTAATACCCATTTCATCAGATGGTAAGTATAATTATCTTAATTATCTGCAGCATGTTAATTAAATTATCTTTTTCTACAAAGTTGAAATTTCTTGCAACTATATCGAGTATTTTAGTTGCAGATACTATCATTAACTTTTCTCATTACATTCGATGATCCCTAAATCACAACTGCTTTTTAATAAAGATCTACCAGAGGAACTACGAGGTCGATGAGATTTAAGCATTTTACATTTTGGTAACTTATTTTTCATAGAGGTTTATTGTGGAGTTTCCAGTTCCTCCAGCATTTTAGAACCAAGTTCTCGAAGAGATCTTTTTTTTTTTTTTTTCTCGTAATTCCCGCAAGATCACGTATTCTTAGAGTTTCCCTGAGAAGTTCTATCAGTTCTACTTTTAAATGCATATATTATCTGGCATGAAATAGACTCATAATAATTTACAACAAATTATCTAAAAAGTTATTGTATGCGAAATTTAATAAAAGTATCAAACATACAGAAATCTATGCTTTATTACACTGCTTCGCATGGAAATAAGGGCGCTCAGGAATATTTAAAAGTTCCTTTACAAGCTATTTTTAATGGAAAATTTTATGTAAGAATGCTTAGAATCTTTCTACAGAAGAGACAAATGCTTGTTTAAAAGATTTCCTTTATGTTGTTGCGAAATGTCTAGATGCGGTAAGATAGCTTCCCCGCAAGGCGAGTTTGGGGTTGCCAGATAATAGCAAAGAAAGACAGGGTTGCCAGATTTGAAGCGAAATCGCCCATTTGGCGACAAAATTGGCAATATGTCATAGATGGAGCGAGAACATTCTAGAACGAATTCTTACCAGTTTTCCCGAGAATGTTCTCGAAGGCAGGTAAAAGTTATAAATACCCTGCCTATACGTGGAGTAGCAGTTTATCGTGAAGAGTATCGAGAGTATTTTGAGATCAGTAGTAGGGTCATTCAGAGATTATCTCGACAGCGATCGACCGAGTCGGGAGCTGTACTTTAGTGCTTTGCCGTGAAGCTGTCTTCACCGTTATAGCCTGAAGGCTGTGTTGATGATTGTTTCAGCGTGTTTATCGTAGTTTTTCGACGGCTGTAAACGCGTCTTTGGAACTGTCCTGTGTAATACTGAAGAATAAATTGTGTTTTGGTTCTTCATCAAGCGTTGTCATTAATCACTTCAATCTACGAACCCGTAGAACGCTACAATATTTTATTCTGTTAGCTTAAGGTAGCTGGTTACGTCGTCTGAACCCTAATTTTCTCCCTCTGAATGATTCTACCTCAGCTTCTGCTGACAGCCATGGAATGTCAGAGTGGTTTTAACTCATCGAATTTTATTGTTGTTAAGTGCAAATTGTGATATGGAAGGGGACTCCTCGTCCAGACACTAACATCTCGTCTGCTTTTTTGCCTCATCACTTTCCAATTATGCTGTCCATTCATCAATGGAATCTCTCTGCTCAATGAATCACAATGCTGAAACACGAGATGTTATCAGTTTTATGTACATTCAGTTCAATAGATGTTGTTGCGGATTATGCAGCTCCGCTACTTTTAAAATTTGCGTTACACGCCTTCTATTCATAGTTTATGGTTTGTGCTAAATACGAATTGTAACTTTTCGTAAGCTAACGAATATTCTCACTGGAGTTGTTCTTCGGATATCTGCAATCATTTGAATTACCTAAACCCATTGCGATAACTAATATACTCAAGATCTATCAGCAGAAGGAAAATACTCAAAAAAGGACCACCAAAACTTTAAATCTAAATTTTATAAGGTATTTCTCCCGCCTTTTTAGCATGTCTTCGTGGTGTGGTGGTCTGCACGCTGGGTGCGTATTCCAGAGGTCCGTGGTTCGATTACTGGCGAAGGCGTTGCTCATTTTTCATATCTCTGCTTCCAAAAAAATCCCAATGTTTCTACAGTGGCGCCCGAACTAAAAGGGTGGTGGATGATGATTCTCCACACCCAGGCCTTTGCGGTTGGGTACCCTAAAAACCCAAGTTGCCCTTTATAAAGGGGGCGTATATAAGGTTTTCCTCCCGCCTTCTTAACATGCCTTCTTGGTGTAGTGATCTGCATGCTGGGCGCGTAATCCAGAGGTCCGTGGTTCGATTCCCGGCGAAGGCGTTGCTCATTTTTCATCTTTCCTGCTTCCAAAAATTCCTAATGACTCTACAATTTAAGTTTTGCATTTTGCAATAACTAAAAATTGAATACTATAGGTTCTTGCATAAACGCGTAATGTGGGTTCTTCTTGTAATTAAAACTCATACGTAGTACTGGACGGCACTGTTTTTTACTGGAAACATGAACCAAACGAATAATATATTTAGAACTCAAAATTAAGAGCCGGGAATTATACCATCTTCGAGGCACTTCTAGTGGCGTAACATGCGTAACAACTTTTCTGTTTATTCTAATTCTTGGCAGTGTGTGTGTGTGTATGGGTGAAAGCAGGGCGCGCCGGTTAGTCTGAAAGGGCGCATGTCCGAAGTTTGCTGGATACTAACAATAGCTTTTCGAGTAGTTCATAATTAGTTTTTGCAACTTAAAATACATCTGCTTTCCTTCCTTCCTGAAACGGAAAATTTAACGCTAAAAAATTCAGAACGAAGGAAATGATGCGACTAAAAATCTAATTTAACCCAACAGTGAAACGAAAAATGCAAACTAGTTCTAGAGAAAATGAAAAATTCAAGGCACCATTAGCTATTGCTAAGATGAGATTTCTGATCTTGCAAACGTAGAATCTGTCTAAAATTCTACAAGTTAAGATATTGTTACAAAAGCATTAAAAAAGGTAACGAAATATTGATGAAAATTGTTTTATTGAAACACCCAAACGCTTCATATCAAGAAACCGAATAATTACGGTTTAAAATCTTATCTTTCTATCTATGTTTCACTTTTTAATTTTTTAGCCATCTCTTTAGTCTACTCTCTCTTTTCCTTTTGTCCGCAACTTTTTATTTAGTATTCTTTCTATGGTACTATTCCGTTTTGAGGACCGTAAAAAATTGCAGCGAAAATGTATGCGCAAAAGCGCCAAATCTAGCAAATGCGCCCATTTTACAGCGCGCCAAATCTAGCGTACGCGCTGATTTCAGATTGCGTAAGTTTATATAGTTCTATATTTCTTAAGACGCCATTGAAATACTAGTTTAATTTTTAAATCCATTTTTTTATTTGAAATTCTTTTTTAATATCCTATGGGTTTAACAATTTGGGAATTGCCCATTACGAAAAGTCAGCAATAGAATTTTGGGTAAAGTGCACAATCACCCACCTGCTTGACGCCTTTTTAAGAATTGCACATGCTCACGGTATCCATGTGCACATCGACCTATTTTCATTAAAAAAAAAAAAATCCCAGAATTGCAAAAAAATGGCACTGGCGCACACCCTTGGACTTTATCTATGTACACATCGACCTAGTTTCACTTAAAAAGTAAAAGAAAATTGACAAAAATTCAATTGTTTTTACCCTTGTAAAAAGCGGAAAACAAATACTAAGTGAGCGATTCTGCACTTTACCGAGAAAGTTTTCAAAGAAAAGGCATCATTCATTATAGAAAATTACGTTTGAACAACCAACGAGATGAAATTATGCTTTAGCGATAAGTCGGTATCGAAATAGCGATGCAGTCATCCATTCAGTTATGTTTAGCAATTTTTATATAAATTATGATAATGACCTGAAATAGTTATTTACTCTTATGCTTCCATTCAGGTCATGTTTAGCTTTTTTCATATAAAATAATAATAAAAAAAGTATTATATGAAATTAACCTATTAAATCATCTAAATTAAATCATCTATCTTAGATAGTTATTTACTATTATACTTTCTTTCTTGCCCCAATTATTAGGGTTGCCGCAATTATTTTTGGCAGCATTGGCATCAATAATAGTTTGGCGATTTTTTACGGCCCTCGAAACCGAACCCTTTCTATTAATAAACGGAGGTAAAGATCAAAACCCAACAAAAATAGGGAGGAAAAAAAAAAAAAAAAAAACTCTTGGACCAAACTAAAAACACTTGAACTTGAATTCCGGATGTCTTCAATACCCAAAATCTGATTCATACAACGTAGTGTGTTGCAGGAATTGCATAGAAGATTGACAATATTTTGTAATAATAAGCAAACCACATAATTGCTGTTGTTGTGCCTAATCTCATTTATCTGACCTAATCAGAACAAACCCACGAAGGATAGTAAGGAGTACAAGATTGCGTTCGTTATTTGCCTTGATCACCCTACAAGTAGCAGTTTGACTTTCTCAGTTCCGTCCCAGTTTTGAAGAGCACCCCGGGGAACAGGTCCGAGTCCACTCCTCTTCTCCTACTATCAACCTCTCGAGAGAAATTTCGTCTCGTATATTTTGAGTGCCCTCATGCCGCACAGGCGCTGTACATTTACAAGCATCCATGCCTTTTCCCGGATTCGAACCCTGACACTTCGGTACGCAAATCAGCGTCACTAGCCACTTTCCCGTCTTTGCAATACCACACAACTTTTCAGTTTAATTGAAGGAAGCCTATTTTCCTTCATAGTAAGCGGTAATTGAGTTTTCATTTTCAGAAATTTAAAAAATGAAGTCACTAAATGATTTGAGAAGTCTGATTTGTTGTCTTTGAAAATGAATCAGATAACTCCTTTGAAAGTGAATTCGCAGTTATTTTTTCAAATAATGAGTCTTGGGGGAAAATATATCCCACAGCCTGTATCGCGTATCACGAGATTATAAGGAAAAAGCGGTAACATTCTGGCATAGTATAAGAAACGCGAAATATGGCTTGCAGTGTGTTCAAAATAATTAACCATATTTTTTTTCAAAGAAAGGGAAACCTTTTTTAAGGGCAATAGCTCACATTCATGTTATTCATAGGCTAAACCACGAAAATTCCCATGCAGTTAGTACATTCACCATGATTTGAATTCATGTTGAACTAGCTGAGTTTAGAAGCTTCACCGCTTGGCCACAAGTGGCGCTGAAATTTTGAAACTTTTGTAATTCAGTTCTGTTAATTAACACGCCAACTAGTTTGGCTATAACTTCTTTTATTTTTTTATTCAATTTGGGGACTTCCTCTCTCTGTCTTAGAAATAGCGCCATAAGTCTAATGTGTAAAGCAAAAAATATGAAAGCAAACTTCTAATTTTGATTGGCTATAACCTCTTTTATTTTTATTTAATTTAGGGACTTCCTCTCTCTGTTTTAGAAATAGCTCCATAAGTCAAAACTGCGTCATTCAAATTTATCGTGCTATCTTACGTAACGCTCAATGCAGATGTCTCTTGCCCAATCAAAGTAATTATAAACCAAAACTTTTTTGCTCCTTTCCTTCTTCCTCTGCATTACTACTGAAACACTTTCTCTCTTTTCGTTTACGCTTTCATCCTGGGAAGACGCTGCTGCAGTCATCTATGTGCTGCCATGATCGCTTCTACCGCCATAGTATCAAAATTGTAAATGTTCTGGAAATAGGCACGATTGGGAGTGCCAAGTGAATTTTCGCCACAAATATGAGTTTAAATAAATATGGAATTTAATCCAATTCGACTGCTTCCTCTTCAAAATAGAAGGACGCTCTAAGCATCAAGTATATACGCTAAACAACATTGATAGATATCATATCTTGAGAGATATCATAGATATCATCGAGTATTCAAAATATGGTGTGCTATCATTACATACAGATATAAAATATAAAAGATGCTGTTGCGTGCGTACGGGTTCGTTATGAACTGAATACACAATTCCGATGAAAAATGAATAGAATTTATTATTATCACGATAAAATAAAACAAAATACTTAAGTTTCCTCATATATTCGTACAGTATTACAATATGTCACAGTAGTTAACTTTTAACTATTCAAACGTTCAACAGAATTTAATTCAAAACAGCTAGAGAAAGCTAATCCGCGAATTCGCTATAGTCAACAAGAGCAGTTTTCTAAACAGACTCTTAAAACAACTAAACTGACTTGCCAATGCCAATGATTATAAATTACGGAGTGCCTATAGTTCAAAAATAAACTGAATTGAGAGCTTTTCCTCCTTTTTATAAGCTTTTTAAAATTCGTCACGCGTTGCACTGCGGGGATAAAATAATTTTATTTACAATTCTAATAACATTAACTATTTAAATACCAAATCCGTAACAATACGATGACTTTGCTCTAAGCCAAGGTTTCTTAAACTGTGGGTCGCGACCCCCAAGCGGGTTGCGGGATCTGCAGCAGGTTTTAGCATTTTTGATATTTCTTTAACTTATTGTAATAATTTTACAATTACCAAATATTTTTACACAATGTATCTGAAAATAGATAAAGATAAGACAATACAAACAAGAAAAAACGAAAACGTTTCGACGCTAATATACACGTTCATTTTCTTTGCATGTGACGCTGTCATTTCGTCTGTTACTTATTTAAAATTTTTACATTCTTCTATGTCTTAAAATTAGAAATTAAAGTTAATGGCCTAAAACTGCAGTAGCATATTATAGTACAAGTGAAAAAATTGACAATTTCACTCACGTGTGTGTCGGATTTGCGCAATAATTATGGGCTCTCCCCAAAATTTTGTAAATATTATGGGGTCTTGGGGGTTGCGAAAAAATCTCAGTGATAAAAAGGGGTCGCGACTGAAAAATGTTTAGGAAACCCTGCTCTACGCGAACAGGCAACATCTAATTAAAGTTCCGCAGTTTCAGGATTTTCCCCCAAACCAGTGTTTTCGAGAACATTCGAGCATGTTACGTAACCGCTCCCATAAATGAAGAAGTCACGCCATTTTGCGTCAGAATGCTTCTCTCCTCCTGCGCTACAACCCATCTTTCCTTTGTTAGAGCAGTTATGACGTAGAAAGTCTAAATTTAATCGTACTTAGTTTAAATCGCTATGGAATACGTAATTTGGAGAATTTCATCTAAAGTAAAAATGATCTGCGGTGAGAATTGAAATAAAGATATGGAGTAGTAAAAAACGAAATCCTTCTGTGTCATCATTTCTGCTGTTTTCCACTCCGCCACGACAACACTCTAATCTGATGTAGTTATATCGTCAAATTTGGTAATTCCTGTGCCTGCATGCCAAAATAGTATATATATATATATATATTATTTTTCAGAAAATTGAGAGTACTAAGCTGAAAGACCTTTCTTGCCAGCTTATATCATATTAAAATAAGTAGAGAATTCCATTGGATTATTCCTGTTTTCATACATCATAACTTTAAAAAGACTTATTTTTCTGATTTGTCATGTAGTGTTAATTATGATTAAAACAGTCAACTGCTCTCTCCCATAATACCTTCATAAAAAACTTTATAAGATAAATGTTTCATATTTATATTACAAATAAAGAAAACCATGAAAGCCTTATGCAGCCACCTTATTGAACAGCTGGAAATATCAACTATCAGAACTTTTTAACGTAGGTCACGTGGCCATTCATAAGTCTGAAGACTTGAAAAAGGCTTTTAAAATTACTATCTCAATATTTTTGAAAAAATATACCGGAATCTTTGATCCAAAAATCCATGTTAATAAAAAATTATTTGATAGAATGCTAAACATAGATAGATAAGGTACAATCCATTAGAATACTTGCCGATGCAGCACTAATTTGAAAATTTTTCAAAGGTTTAAAATACTGTTTGAGCCGTAAAATTATCGATTTACCGAAAGAAAACAGAAAAAAAAAAAAAAAAAAATAATAATAAATTAAAAAAATAAATTTGAAATCTGTCAGATTTTATGTTACGCCCAAAGGCGAGGTTTTTTTTTTTTTTTTTTACGTTTTGTGTGTTACCTTGATTTATTAAATGTCATGTTCTTCTTCGCACTTAAACCATAAAATTCAATTCAACAGCAATATCACAAAATATTTAAGAGCATATCTTTAGAGTTTTCGATACACAGTCTCGCGCCCTGGAGATTTTTTTTTTGGGGGGGGGGAGGGTACACTATTGTAACTGCTTGCTTTGAAATCGTCGAGTTTCATAATCAAAAGCTCATAAATGCTTTAAAAAATATGAAATAGATAAAACAAATTTCAAATTCCAAATTTGGGCTTCCAGCTGTTTATAACCGGGTGGAGACGTACGTTGTTCAAAATTTGATGGCTCTAGGTTGTTTTATCAAATGAGAAACATACACACAATTATTCAGATTCTTCATTATTTAATTTCTTTAAATATAATACAGAACTCTAATATTTGGTAGCAACAGTTTGAAAAGTGACTTGCCGTTTTCAGTTACAGTGAATCAACGCAAAATGCCAAAACGAAATTACGAACCCTTCGCGTCTAACGCCCTTTAAGCTAATAAAGAAATAGATACACATGGAATATAAATTAGCCTTCATTTATTGATTTATTTTATATTAATTTTTATACCAATATTGTGAGTTATTGATCCCAATATTGTGTGAGTTTTTTGTTCCAGTATTGTGAGTTCGATAGTGTAAGTTGCATAACCTTTACAGTAGTTACACTGTGAGTATGTTTAGCTCAGTTTCTTAAAGCTATGATTCACTCCAATATTATGAAGAGCTATTTGTGTTCATTTTGTTCTAAATTTAATAACTCTCAAAACAAGTTTTTGAATAAATATTTAGAAAATTACGATTATGAATGTTGTTCAATTATTTTCAGATCTTGAAGAAGATGGTAAAGAAGATGTGCCTATTGTCAAAAGATCCAATGAACATGTATTGAAAGTAAATGAAACAATTGAATACTACTGCGCCTCCGCAAGAGACGATAACTCTCAAGTCACATGGTGAGTTTTTTTAATAAAGAATTTATTGCATACTCACCTTATCTTTCTCTCACACAGTGCGAATGCAAATCACACAATACGAACGCAAGAAGGAAAAAGTCTTTAAGTAATATTAAATAGAAAAGGATTACTAAAACACGCAAATATTGTTTTAAACGGAGATTGTGAAAGAACTTGAATGATACATTCCCCTTCTTTTATTATCAGCTTTTATTTTATGATGGCTTGTCTGACTAAATGCAGTTAAAGTATCCTTTTAATGAACCATCATATTTTTTAATGAAAGAATAATAGTAATTTTTATAAAAATCTTTTTAAAATATTTAAAATCTACATTTCTAAATTATTAACTATAATTAGAAGAATAAATTTTAAGAGTGGTAATGAATAGCAAGCTTTTTCTCATTAAGTTTATTGCAAATATTCGTATTTAATATTTGTAAGAGAAAACTCGAACATTAAACAGAGGTCACAAAATTGAAAGCCCGAAATTTTCATTTGGCAGTATATTAAAAAAAAATTTCTTTGCCCGAATGATATCAGTTTTCACACATACCAGTTGTAGCCTGACCATAGTTAGAGATCACAGACTTGTTTTAAATCGAATCTAATTATGTATTCTGATTCGATAAATATTATTTCTTGATGCACTGTGCTTAGAACTGTCATTTTTCTCTAGCATACAATCAAAATATATTCCGGTAAAAATGTTCGAGCAATCACAAACAAAAACAACCGCCAACTAAAAATTTTTAAAGGTGGTGATTAAGATGATTACTTTTTTCCCTTGTCGTCATGCAGCTTCTGATGGACAATGCTGGATTTCACTTTCTCCAATTTGTAAGGATTGTCTCCGTTGATAAAAATTTATCTAATTAAAAATGCTTTAGAAATAGAAACATGTTTAACTTTCTAGCATAAAAGCAATTTCAATATCACTCGATTTTCTGCCTTTTTTGCGCTTTCTTGAGACATTTGCTTTTTTTATTACTATCAAATTATTTAAGTTTTATTAAGTAAATCATTGAATTTAAGCATTATTTAAGTTTTATATAAAATTACTGCAATAATAAAAATACCGTGAAGCTTCTACGGTGACTACTTCCGGGAGATTACTAGCTCTAAAAGTAACCAGAATTTCTGAGAACATAATTTAAATAACACTAATGGAACATCATCGAAAGTCCTGTTCTCTAAGGCAGAATAGTCAGGCAAATAAGATTGATGGTATTCGTAGTTCGTTTCGGCTTCGGCTACCAGTAAGCGTGCTGACTTGGCATGGCCGATTTCGTCGTTTTGACCATGTTTAATGAGACAGAAGCCAGAAAGCTGGAAGAAGTTCGAAGTTAACAAGTGTGGAGAAGGAGTTTGGGATTGTTCAGAGCATCGTTTCGCTAAGCTGAAGAATGTTTCAAACTGCAAGAGCAGCTACCCTAGCGTTTAGCAGTGGTCATCCGCGAATAACAACAGCAGCGGAAGACTGTTATATTGTGATACCGGCGGCCAGTGCTTAAATTGCGCCGGAGCGCACCGAAGCCCTAGATAAGATGAGCTCCAGTACTTCTTTCTATAAAACTGAAGCACAATTTGAAGGGAAAAAATTTAGAATTCCTAACATTTTATTTTAACAATAAAATTTTATTAAAAATCGCTTATTAAATTTTAATTTATCTCTTTGCATTTTATTTAATCTTAATTATTTAATTACCTTACTCTTTAGTTATTTTCAATAAGAAAGATTTAATTAATTATCTATAAAATCATAATCATAAGGGTTAATTAATTATCTATAAAATCATAATTCATTAATTATATAATAATTATTGATCAAATAGCAATTTGTAAACATTAATTAAATAGCTATTAATTAATATGATAATAATTAATTATTTAGTTTTAAAATTATTAATGAGTTTAATTGTCATTTTATTTATTTATTTACTCTTGTTTCCCTTTGCTGACGGTCTTCCATAGGACTCCGGCACTTCTAATTTTAGAAATTAAGCCCTGCCGCCGTCAGACAGGGAGAGATATCGCAGGGCACATACAACAGACTATTGACATCCGATATTACGTTTTACAGCAACCAGAAGCCTGCACAAACATGTTCTGTATGCACAATGACCATGTGTGTGCTATTAACGTCTGCTGATCGGAGACACGGGTTCCTGTATTGCTGGGAACATAATAACTGAATATAACAGGAGTGGGATAGAGTGCTCTTTACGGATGAAACCCTATTTAGTTTGACCAGAGATTCTGGGCATATACACATAATTCTGGAAAGAGAAGGGAACACGCAATAATCCTTCCAATATATCATCGAAAGGGATCGTTTTGGAGGTGCCGGATATGTCGTTTGGTGTGATATCATGTTTGGTAACCCCACTGACCTCCATATCTTCCAAAGATGTTTAGTCAGTGCAGTTCGCTATTGTACCTAAATTCTCTTGTCTCACGTGCATCTGTTTAGATGCTCTGTGTGTCGTGAGTTCTTCTTCCTAGTCGACAACGCTACACCTCATTGTACAATAGCTGTCGCCGAGCTCTTGAAAAGTGAAGATACTCAACGCAGATTGGCCTGAAAGCGCACTGGACCTAAATCTTGTAAAACATGTGTAACTTATCTTGTAAAACACTTGGGTTACACTAACAGCATTATACATATCAAACAGGTTACAGTCCTTTCTCTGGAGACACTTGACAGCATGTGGCCAGCCCTTCAACAATGATTCCGCAGCTAAATTGGCACTAAAAGAGGAATGAGCCGTGATGTCTCATCAGCTTCTTGACAACCTTTTTCTCATCATGAACACACATTATAACTATTGCATTGCAATCAGGGGTGATTATATACCCTTCTAAAGATTGGAGTTTTCTTGCTTGGGGCCTTTCACATGGACGTTTCTATCTTCTCCCAGTTATGCTCGGAGCTACCTTTTCAATAAAGTGCATTTTTATTCTTTTGATTCCTTATTTGGATGGGTTTGCTCATATATCCCATGCTATTCATCTTGAGGACATGGTATAATTTGGGAACACGTCTGCACAATGTTACATTAAAAAATCCGTCTCATCCTTAAACTTTGGGCACCGGTATAATACTTATTCCAAATACTTTACCACTATGGATTTCACAAACTAAGTTATTTTTACCTCTACCGCTATCGCCATTAAAATTAACTTAAACCTCTTTGCTTTATCTGTGTCCGTTATTCTTTATTTAAAATGATTTTGCATTTCAAAACCACAAATACATTTCAGTTTTTATTAGAACATGCCAACTTTACTTTCCCCCTTCCCGCCGCTCTCAGTCGTAAATTACCACAATCATATACTACTACGTGAGGTTTATTTTGCTTATTCAATGCTGCATGTCGGGATTTTTGTCAGTAATTCAAATTCTTCAATTTTGTGTTAACGATTGATCATCTATTTTAAGCCTGTGCATTCAGTGTGTTTTCATCGAAACCAGATGGTAACAAAACTAAACGGAAAATTGATCATGAAGATCAAAATTTCCGAGAAAAATGGGAATTGGATTATTTTTGCTGTGAAATAAAATATAAAATAATCTGTTTAAAAAAAACGACAGTTCATATTTACTAAAGTATCATAAGAAAATGGAGCCGAGGTGTATACAAGTCCCTTCTTGCTGATAACTAAAACTCAATCTTTTATCGAAGGTGATTCTAATGTTTAAGTAAAGCTGTTGAAACTGTTTGCCCTGGAAATGTGAAGTTTTTCTAAGAAAGCTCTTGCTCTCAGAAGATCGTTGTGTAAAGAGTTCTGATTTGGTCAGCAGTGTAAATGATCAGATCAAAACAAAATCGCCTACTTTCCGAAACCTTTTCCATTGCCTGTGATGCGAGTATGGACACTGGAGAACTGGAGACGTAGCTCAGTTAGCTATGTCTCTTCATACTTGGGACACAGATTTCAGCATTTTTGGGGAATTACTGGACCTAATCGATGTGTGGCCCTACCATAGGGCAAAATATATTAACGTTTATGAACTTCTGCAAAAATAAAATCTACCTTTATCAAAATTGATTTCTGTAGCACTAGATGAAGCGCTTTCAATTGACCGGGAAAACATTGGCTTTCCCGGTCATTGAAGCCACAAAACCATTAGGTTATTGCCACGAAACCATAGGGTTTCGTAGCATTTCTACGAAAACAACGAAATGAAATTTATAGCGGACCCAAGATTCATCATACATATTGCTATGTACCTCAAGATGTTATATACGAAGGTAATAAAGATGGAAAATATGTTAACATCTATCAAAGAAAATTATCAATTTAGTAAGATTTGAAGGCTTAATCAGCCTTCTGGCTGATTAAGCCAGAATTTGAAGGCTCTCTCAAATTTAAAGGTTTAATCAGCCTTCAAATTCAAAATCAGTTCTCTGCTTTCTTAAGTAAATTAGACAGTAAATATTTCGGTTTGTCTCACTATACCGAGGTATGCTGTGTAACCAACCTGCTCTAAGGTTGTAGAGACATTGTAGTTTTTTTTTTTTTTTTTTTTTTTTTTTTTTTTTTTTTTTTTTAAGCAGGATTCAGGAAAAATGAGCAATGCCTTCGTCGGGACTAGATTCCCGGACCTTCCGATACGCACCAAGCGTGCTGACCACTACACCACGAAGGCATGCTAAGAAGGTGGGAGAAATACCTTATTCTTAAAGGTTCTTAAACGATTCTGTGACTTGAAAGAAAAGTATGCTACTTATTAATACCAAAAATCAAGACACAAGTTTTTTTGCTTCCTTGTACGAAGTAAAAAGGAAGTATTGTAATCGCGAAAAGTTTCAGGCAGCATATTTCAACGAAAATATCCATTTTGACCGCTATCGAATGCAATTTAACGATGTTTTTGCGTGATATCTGTACGTAAGGACAGAATAAAATACTTTTCCTTCAAAAAAAAATTAAAAAACTGCTTTTTAAAATTAATTCTGAGAGAGAATTTTTTCGTGGCGTCTGTACGAACGTAT